GTATAGTTAGACTCTCAAGCACAGATGAAAGAGTCCATAGAAGATTGCGAAGAATAATGGGGCTAAGATCTGGTGGGTAACAGATAAGGATCGGAAAGTAGCAGCACAAAATGACAACAGCAACATCAGCAAAAAGGAGTAGAGAGAGAAGTACCAGGATCTGAACTAAAGAGGATGTGGAAAGTAATGGTCAAAGTGTTCCCAAAGGTAGCAGGAGCTATCTCAGCTGTTCCTAGCACATTTCTTATGAATCAATACATTTTAAGCTAGTTGGTATTTTTTAATCAGCCAGAAATTGACTGTGAAATTGAAATTCTGTCCCTTTTTAAGTCTGTTTGATGTACAATGCATGTAAAAGTGGCAGGCCTTTGACTGTACAACTGTGGTTACCATCTTGAATTTTTTGACATTTCTATAGATGCCTTGGGCTACAGAGTGTAATTATGAATCCTGATCTACAAAGAAGCCTATATGGAATTTCTCCATGCTTGTGCTTCTAGGTGACAGGCAGCTGTCAGTTCGGAAAGGTGATAATAACTGACCTCTTCCTGAAAGGTGAGCCTAGCCCTAGAGGTTTTCTGCCTGAAGAAGACTTTATGGGTGGATAATAGGGCTGCAAAGAAAAGTTGTGAATTATCTGATCTTTAATTTAAGGAGTCTGCATGGCTGTATTTCTCTCGATATTAATAATACACTGCAGTTAGAAATTTGTGCAAAATGCTTTGAGCTTTGTAAAGGCATTTGAAAGGGTGATATATATTACACGTTTTGTTAATAATATTGTTCTGGTTTGCACTTCAGGAGGAGAATTCCAGATAAGTGTCTTTAATTAACCCAGAGATGCAAATAAAAATTAACAACAGTCACACTGAAAGTATGTTAACCAACCTGTTCAGCATGGCTTTCCACATACTGTATCAGTGCATTCTAGACATGTGGAAGTAAATTCTCATACTTCCTAGTCAGCAAATCCATTACAAATTAAAGGAGACAATGTCCAAGAGATTAAAAGGGAAGCAAACAGAACAGGCAAATACCAGAGTAATTAATGGTATAACATCCAATAATAGATGAGCTAAATTTGCAAGGCTATCTATCATTACCAAGCATTTTAAAAGCACACTGATATTAATGATTAAATAGCTTGGCCACACATTCTACAATTGTTTCCCTAGACAGAAATGATTAGAGACACAACTGCAGAATTCGTGACAATGTCTTTTTACACCTCTCATCTGTGGAATGTCTTTGATAAGCCCTTGATTCTTTTGAGTTTCATTTTTCTTTATATAGTACTCTCTGATATTGCTTTCTTGTCTGGAAAATAGAAAAAGGATCCAAGGAAAATAATCTGGATTGTTTTCGGAATGTCAAGCCTTCATTAATCCACTCTATGTATTCCCACTGTAATTATAACACAATGAAAGGCTCCAGACTAGACTTATCCTTGACATGCGGGATCTCCACCTGCAGAAGGGATCCATTTGTTTGCATTCTGAAGGAACATTGTGCTGGAAAGATCCTATTTGTGTTCTTTAGGATCCTGGCAAATGAAAAGTACACCAGCATTATACTGACTAGTAGTTTTCATTGTGGAATAAATATTTGTACAGAACATAGGTTAGACTGGGGATGTGCAAAACATCCACCACATTCAGTATGGAATTAGTTTTGCATGATCTTGTGTCCAACACAAATATACACACACATACATACATACTTACATACGTGTGTGTGTGTGTGTGTGTATGTATGTGTATACACACACACACACACACACACACACACACACACACGAACATATACACATACATCCATACATATATAAACATTTTGTACACAATAGTCATTGAGGGAAGAAAAAGCTAAGACCACAAAAGGTACGGAAAAGAAGATAGATACAGATAATCAGAGTTGGAAGGGACCATAACAGATAATAATAGTTGGAAGGGACCTTGTAGGTTATGTAGTCCAATCCCCTGCCCAAGCAGGAGACCCGACACCATTTCTGACATTGGCAGTCCAATCTCTTCTTGAAAGTCTCAAGTGATGGCGCTCCCACAACTTCCGAGGGCAAGCTGTTCCATTGGTTGATTGTTCTCACTGTCAGAAAGTTTCTCCTTATTTCCAGGTTAAATCTCTCTTGTTCAGTTTCCATCCATTATTCCTTGTCTGGCCTTCAGGAGCTTTAGAAAATAGCTTGACCCCTTCCTCCCTGTGGCAGTCTCTCAAATATTGGAAGACCGCTATCATGTCTCCCCTGGTCCTTCTCTTTACTAGACTAAAGAGTTTCTGTAACCGTTCTTCATACGTTTTAGTCCTTGTAGGTCATCTAGTCCAATTCCCCATACCCTCTAAGCAGGAGACCCTACACCATTTCTGACAATGCTTGGAAGATGGAGACAGCTGGATTACTGAGGTCTGCTAAGCCATGGGAGGGGGGAGAGAAAAAATTAAGAGGTGATTCACATCAGCCTTGTCCCACACTCCCACCCATCCCCCAATTCCAAATTTTGTTTCAACCCAAACCTGGAACCATTAGGTTGTTCTTCTGAACCAAGCCTTGACCTGGAATGCTTTGATAGAATTAGAAGGTCCTCCACCCACCCACCCACCCGCTTTTTAGCATAGGCCGATATGACATCTCGCAGATGTGTTTGAATGCAGTTCCACAACTCTCTCCCTCTCCCAAAGAGTGACGGCTAGGGATGATGGGAGACGAAGCCCAAGAGGGAAAGGTTGTGAAGGCTGGAGGAGTATGAGGGATCGCGCCCAAAGGCTTTCGAAGTTCTCCTGGCCTTCGTTTCCTGGGTTGGAAATCTATCAGAAAAAAAACAAAAACGCCACAAGAGCTCATCAACAAAGGAAGGAATTGCTGCCGATACAGTCGCTACTCAGAAAAAGAAAAGGTGCACTTGAGACAAGGAAATGTTTAAATTAGTCCTTTGATCGTTTGTCCCTCGAATGATGTCCCCTTCCCTTCCTTCCTCCCTCTTTTTATAGATGTAGATATATATGTGAGTGAGAGCGAGGAAGATTTCCACACACACCCCTCCTCTGAGAGCCGGCCGAGCTTTGTTTGTGAGCCAAGCGCCCTCTGGCGGCGGCAGCTGTATCTTGCTTGCCTTTCACACGCGGGACGGGAAAGAAAAAGTTTGGAAAAGTTTTGGAAGTCGCGGTAAAGTGATGAGAGTGTGGTGGTTCGCCTCCCCACCCCCGCCTCCTGGCTTTTCCTAGCTGTGTGAGCGTGCGTGTGTGAAACCGACATGATGACATCCACAGTAGTGCCCGCCTTCCCGTGCCTGTTCAAATACCATTTCCCTACATCTAACGCCATCGAAAAACTAGGATCCCCGCTACCTCCGCCGTCCCCCACCCCACTTTCTCAGGGAAAGAGGGAGAGAGAGAGAGAGAGAGAGAGAGATCACTTTCTTTTCCCACCTCTTTCCTTCGAAGCGCCAAGGGAAAAATAGAAGACGGGGCAAACCCTCAGTAACTCTCGGCCAGCATAAAACGAATCTCCTCTGAAGTTACATTCGCTCCTCGAGCATGGTCGACGCTCGGGATCAGTATCGCCGAGGGCCCGCGAACCATCCTTGCGGGACCATTTAATACGGCCCCTTCCCCCCCCCCCCCCCCCCCCCCCCCGCCGTCCCGCCAACCAGGGCAGCGGATGCGAACTCTCGCCTTTTTTTTTTTTTGCACTTGTCAGATGCGGACGGGACATTGGCCGGCTGGGATCGAGACACCCGAGGCAAGCCGACCGGCGAAGAGTTCCTCTTAAAGCAGCCGGCAAGGCGGGTCCCCGGGGAAGGAAGAGGATGCAGCCCCACCTGGCGCTGATATGCGTTGCTGTGCTCGGGGGGGCCCTGCCGGCGTCGGCTCGACCCGAGCCCAGGAGGCGGCCACAGCAAAGGGACCCAAGGCGATGTGAGCTGCCCCGATCGGTGAGCTGGGCGAGGGAAGGAGGGAGGAGTGGAGAGAGGAGAGACGCACGCGGCGGAGGAGGGGTGGGTGGCGGGCATTCCAAGTAAGGAGAGCCCGGGCAGCGCCACGTGCGGGATGATCCCTGGGATGATCCCCGAAGATGGGACCTCGTCAACCAGACGCTTCCTCCCCAGAGTCCCTCAAGGACCCCGAAAGCTTGGACTTTGCGTTTGGGGCCCTTAAGATCTGGGGGAAGCGGGCGTTGGTCCTGGCCGCGCTGGCATCTCCAGCATCCCATCTCGGGTGGCCTAGCTGGGCTCTCTGGGGAGCCCTGCCTCTGGCCGGAGAAGCAGGACTGGAAGAGTCAACTCGATAAGAAGACAGACTTCAGCTTCCGTCCCTTCCGCAGCATCCAGCACACTGGGCTGCTTGACCGGGAAACGGTAGCAATCCTGTAGTCAAGCGGTAGACTTTTCCTCCCGCCTCTGCTCGCCAAGCATTGGAGCCTTTCCTATCTTTTTTTCAGGCATCTTCTGAAAAAAGTTTAGGCCATACCCAGATAGCTAATAATATAGGTATGATTATACTTATATGTGCTGCTACTCTTATTCAGCAGAAGCAATGCGAATAACTCTTAGGGTCCTTCAGTCAACTTTTCCATACTCCATAATTTGGATTTATTTCAACAGGGGCTTCTCACCGGTGATATATAGTTTAGTAAAATAAAGGTAGCATAATTTACAGCAGAATGCCACCTATTCACTGTGCTGAAACTGCAGCCACTTTAAATAAGTTATAGTGCCAAACTAGGACCTGTCTTCATCCTGCCATGTCCTTCATTAGAAAATTGGGGCCACCTGTATTGTAGTGTCTCAGCCTAAGCTACCTCAGACTTGTCTTTAGGCTAGGCTGAAGAAGTAGATTACTCTGTATACACTGTTTTGTGATCCTAGAGAAAATGGGGCATCTCATTTGCAAAAACTCATGTGAGTGCAAAAACTCATGTGAATGGATTGTCTTGATCTTTAGAAGCACTGTGATTATTACCTGTATCATCTCCTGCCTCAGGTTATATGAAAGCCAGTGGAACTACATACACACTTGCTTCCACTTTAGGATCAAAAGACTTGCTTCTGACAGGAGTACAGGCGACATAAAATTAGTATGTACTACTGACAGATTATGGCTCTCTGGGACAATCTGGGATGTCTCTGCATCGTAAGCCCATGCAGACTGGATAAAAGAATTATTACAAGGTATCTCTTAAGTATACATTTCTGACCTGAAAGAAAATAAATCTGTTCCACTGAGTGCAGCTTTATATATGTGTCTAAGGTATATATATGTTCTGTCCAAACATGTACATATATAACAATGAACAACATGTACATATATAACAATGAACACATTTTTGCTTGTATTAAAGTATTTCTGTGGTTCCAAACATAAACAGAAGGCCGTTTAAAGTACAGTAACCTATAAAGGAGAATATTTGTAGCTCAGGGTTGAAATGAGGGGTCCTTGGTTCTCTCTGAGCTTGGTTGTTTTCTTGCAGACATTTCAATACCCAAAGTAGGTAACATCATCAGTGCAAGCTTAGAGAGTACCAAAAACGGTAACCTAGTCTGTTGTTATAGCTCTCTTCATCTCAAAGAACAGTCCATTAGATGTTAAGGCATAATATATCAGTTAAGTGACTTAACTCTGTAACTTTCTCTGCAACAGATACGTTTTACATTTGTTAAAATGTTTACTGAATTCAGTAGAAGTATTATAGCATAGGTAATATCAATAGATATTGCTTCAATATCTCATAGGTTAGTATTATGTGAAACAATAGTCTCCAAATAAATCCAGAATAAGCGACAATCACAGTATATACCTGCATTTCCTCTCTACGTCATTTACTTTCTCTCCCCATATTTGTTGGCCTTAAATGTCTTGGTTCACAGCGCTGTCCCTGATGCTGATTAGTTTCCTTTCTGATTTCTTTTGCTTAGCAAAGAGACCTGAACTCTTTCCTCTGGACAATCCGGAGAGATCCTCCTGCCTACTTGTTTGGCACCATCCATGTTCCTTACACACGGGTGTGGGATTTTGTTCCTCAGAACTCCAAAGCTGCTTTTCAAGCCAGCTCCAGTGTGTACTTTGAACTGGATCTCACGAACCCTTCCACTATCTCAGGCCTGGCCAACTGTCAGTTACTTCCTCATGGAGAGAATTTACAGGATGTGCTCCCCCAGGATCTCTACCATCGCCTCAAACGCCATCTTGAGTATGTCCGGTTGATGCTGCCTCACTGGATGACTCCAGATCAAAGGGGCAGAGGCCTTTACGCTGATTACCTTTTCAACGCCATAGCTGGGAATTGGGAACGCAAAAGACCTGTCTGGGTAATGCTGATGGTCAATTCCTTGACTGAGACGGACGTCCGTTCACGAGGAGTGCCGGTGTTGGACCTTCACTTGGCTCAAGAGGCTGAAAGGATGAAGAAAGGAACAGGAGCTGTGGAGAGAGTAGAAGAGCAATGTCACCCTTTGAATGGGCTGAACTTCTCCCAGGTAAGGGCGGTGTGTGTGTGTGTGTGTGTGTGTGACCTAAGATCTTTTAATTTTCCAGAGAGTGTCTTCCCTTTAAAATGAGCTGGCATTAGTTTGGGGCAGGCAGAAACTGCCAAATGAATTAATGCCAGAGGCTAATGCATCCTAGGTGTATATTCTTCAATGAACTTTCATGAAATTCTTCTGTGAAATGTAGATTTGCGGGAGTACAGATAATTGTTTTTCCTCTTTAGATAATGTGATAACTGCAATAAAGTTACAACATAGAATCCTAGTGCTAGAACAGGAGGTTAACACTGAATACCTGCACAACCTAAGAATCAGATGTAAAGCCTCCTTGGTACATGTATCTTTTCTAAACAAGAATGACACGTATGTTTAGGATGAAACTCCATTACTTGCATGTATGGTTAAATATGAAAACTGATTTTTGAAGATAACCTTGAGGAGCATCTGGAAATCGGGTATGGTAGGAAAAACATCAATGCCGCAATGATACCTTGGTTTTGAAAAGAATATCAGATGTGTAATATATGACACACACACATACACACACACAAATAAAATAGATAGGCAGCTAGCTCTTTCTAGGTGTGTCTTTCAACGAGCATTGATACTGGTGTCTTGGAGGTCAGGATTATTGTGTCAGATGCTTTACGTGCAACAGTGAGAAGCTACAGAAAATTGTCTGACATGATGTCACTATACATGTTAATGACACACAGGGGAGGGAAAAATACAGCCATTTAGCCTGGATCTGCTCCATCCCAAGATAGAAAGCTCCTTAGCACCCCATGCATTCTGTGGAAAGACAGATGCTTTATATTTCGTCAAACTCATCTGGATCCAGAAGTGGGTTGCTTCCAGCTGTTGCATGTTGCATCTGAGCCTTTCTTTCATTGCTTCTGGGCCCACATGGTCTCACAGTTACCCCAGTACCTGTTTTAAAGGGATGTATGGAATAAGAATGTATGGAATCCAGTGCAATTCTATACACATCTAATAAGCAATAAGCTCAGTTGAATTCCTTCAGAGAACATACAGACAGGAGTGAATCTTCAATACAGGATATTTGCTGTTTTTATAGTTATGTAAAATGCTGGAGTGCTCCTGAAAGAATGCAGTTTCTAATTGTATTTGGAAAGGCCTTACATTCTCTACCAAAGAATGCTGATACAGTCTTGTTTTCTATTTCTAAATGTAGATGTTATCTGTATGTTATATACTTATACTACAGTATATATGAGTCAAAAGAAATGCATTATTTTGGGCATTCATAAGGGTTGTGTTTCCTTATAACCAATCTATATTCATTTTGTGTGTGTGTGATATTGTTTATAGTAAATGCTATGATGTTAATTCATTTTTGTGTTGCATGTATATGTGTTTATGGCATTAAAATATGGATTGTAAAATTACAGCTGCTCTTCCTTTACAGCAAAACCATCGTCATTAGACATCCGTTGTGCTCACAATCTAGATTTATCTCTTGATCTAGGTAATGGGCTTTATATGCTTCACTGAAGAATACATTGTCTATGAGATTTTGGATGGAGCACTGTTTTTCATTAAGCCCCTCTCCCAAAGGTCACCTGTAAAAATATGTGATGAGTGGATCATCCAGCCAAAAAAATAGATGGCAGGGTTGAAATAAAATGGGGAAAAATATTCTAACAGATTTGTTTTGTGGTTGCTTGTTTGTCCAAATAGTTTCAATTTTGATACAGTCACAGAAAAAAGTATGTGTGAAAACAATCAGGTCTTTTCTTAGAAAATGTTATAATTATCTGTTAAAGGAGAAGTACGGAATTCATGCCCTTTGGATTTTGCTTGACTAGAGTGGGTTGTCTACAGTATATTGATAACAAGGAAGGTGAGACTTATTTGATTCTCATTTTTCTTATCCATTGACCATATTGTTGGTGTCCACAGAAGCTGAAAGCATGAAAGATCACAAATTTTCTACCTTGGATTAAAAGACTTATTAGGAATCCTTTTCAAGTGAGGGTTTTAATTCAAAGCACAACTTTTTTTCTCTCAATTGGTTATAACAATGCATTGAGAGAATATTGCTAGATTTTTGTCTTCTCCCTTATGAACTGTTGGCTGGGCTGTCAACCAATGATGTACATTTTTGCCATCTAATCCCAAAGATTCTCCTCTAAGCAAATGCATTTTTACATCTGGAATTCAAATCCATTTTTGTCCTGTTCTGGAATTACAAGAAAATAGGGCTATGCAAACGTTTAAAATAGGCTTTGCTGTTTCAGTAACAGTTTTAGTATTGGCACTGTAGAATTAATATTTTCAGGATTTGAAGGGTGTTAAGCAGGGGTGGGATTCAAATTTTTTAACAACTGGTTCTGTGGGTGTGGCTTAGTTGGTGGGTGTGGCTTGATGGTCATGTGACTGAGTGGACGTGGCTTGGTGGTCATGTTATTGGCTGGGTGTGGCCAACTCAATATCACTCACATCGAAGTAAGAGGGAAACAAAACTCCAGAGAGGTTCCTGAGACAGGAAGTCTAGTCCTGCCAAGAACATAATAAGGGTTAATGGAGAGGCAGTTTCTGTAAGCAACACCAGAATGTTTCCTTCCTGCCTTCCTTACAGGATTAGGCCAGTAATTTCTTCTAACAACCGGTTCTCCGAACTGCTTAGAATGTTAACAACTGGTTCTAGTGAATAGGTGCGAACTGGTAGAATCCCACCCCTGGTGTTAATGGAATTACAAATCTGTTCATCAATTTGATTATTTGTATGCAGTGAATATCTATTGCAAAACATTAGTTCCATGTATAAAAGAACTTTTAAAAAATGACTAGAAGAAGTCCAACCAATTAGTAGCAACTGATGAATATATGTTCTTCAGCCTACTTGTTACAAAGTGAACAAAATATTTGTTACAGTTTCATTGAAGAGTTAATGTTCAGATTTCTATTTTAAATGCAGACTGCAGTACTTGAAATCAAGTTCACAATAATTAGTAGAGACTCACAGTGCTGCTTATGATGGTGGCATCTCTATCAGGTCAAATAGTACTTAAATCTCTTAAAAGTCCTTCATAAAAATGTACAGTGGGAAAAATTTCAAATCTGAACTACATAACATATTTTTTTGGCTCTAAGGATGAGCTCTATTTTAATCTCTCAGGATGAGAACTAATGCTAGTTTAGATTTCTTCTCCCCGAGAGTCTGATTTTAACTCTGCACATCATTATTCCTTTACTTTCCTTTGCATTTTTCTTCATAATAAAGGGGGAAAAGATTAAATGCTCAAAAGAGGGCTTTGGTTTTATAAATCCATTACTTCCAGACTCATTGATTTGGGATAGTTGAACAATTACTGTCATTCACAAGCCAGTGTCTTTCAGATTTAAAGATACCTGGATAGTTTTTACTTTGGCTAATGAATGCAGATCATCCTAAGGTGGATGCTGTGTTTTTGTTTTTATTGCAAGTCCTTTATGGAGTAAAATTGACATGGTAGCAGAATTAATGTGTAAGCGGGCATCTGAAAGATACATTAAAAAACCACAGACAGTCTTGCTGACAGCAATAGAAGAAAAATAAAAATAAAAGGTAGCTAAAAAGTCTTTTCTATCATTTTTGTACCGCATTCTAAGAGCCGATTGGCTGGCCTTCACAGCTGGCAAATTGTTTAAAAGGAGCAATTTCTAATGTTATCATTTGGTCTAGCAATTCTGCTGTTGGTTTTACTGTTATGGCCTTAATTGAAAGGAGTGGATTATGATGAACAAGATTTCCTCTCTAAATCCTGAATCTCTGGCCTTTTTCTAAGAAACATATAATTAGTGGTATTAATGGTAGAAATTAGAAATTGACCAGAATTTGTTTTCCAGTGGTATGTCTAGGTTGATGGGAACAACATCTGTGATCATTTACAACATTGAATCTGTTCTGAGCATCAGTAGGACTCTTTTTAACCTGCTTTAAGCATTACTTTAATTGCAGTATGTGTAACTTACAAAATTTGGAAACAAGGTCCCAGAAGACATGCTGTAGTGAAATGTTCTTAGGCATCTCCTTTCAAGAATTTCTAAGAGGGAGCAAGCAGTTTGCTCTTTTTCCTAAAAAACTTTTAGCTTTTTTATCCCTTTTCCCGTCTTTATATTACACCACTAAAATACTAAAGGAGGTACTACAAAATATCAGTGTATCCAATACTGAATTCTTATGCCTTCTGGAAAAATCTGAAGATGTTTCAAAGGAACATCTTTACTTTGCAATTAAATTGCTTTGTTTTATTAGCAATTAATATACATTTATTTATTCATTTTGTTCTGGGTCTGCCTTCAATTTTTCAAAACCTTCATTAGCATTTGAAGAGGGCATGTAAACTTTTGATTCAAAGATTATGGTAAAAATTTAACAAGCCATAGTGGCCTAATTCACTTATGCTAAGACATAAACCATGATTTACAAGCTTAATGGCTGAGTTCCTGTGTTAAGCCAAAACCAAACATACCATGCACTAGTTTAAGACAACGTATTCTGAACAGAAAATTACATTTTCAAAATAAATTCCTTTACATCATTAAGTTCTTTCTGATGTCTTAGTGTACTGATCTGAACCCAGAGGGACTTTGTTCTAAACATTCCTTGGTTTGCTTACATAAAAGACCCAATTGAATTGTATCTTTTGTGCAGCAAATAGAAAAAAACAATAACAACAGCACAGTATCCCAAGGATCTTTTTTCTAGTTTTCACTTCATTTTATATGGAAGAAAATCTTTCCTTAGCCAAAAACACACCAACATTTCAGCAGCAAAACCACTCAGTGTTGCTGCCAAGAATATAATATGGGCATAGTCTATTCAGCTCAAGGGAGAATTTTAATAGGATCCTATTCAAGTCCCATTGGAATTAAGGGGATTTATTACAAAATAAGCTTGCATTGGATTCTGCTTCCTGACTGGGCCCAGATTTCGGCTATCTTTCGGTGTTTATGAGTCTGTGGTGTATGTGTGTGTATGCAAC